TATCCGACGTTGGAAGCAAGGAAGGAATGATGCGCTGTTCTTAACTCGGCTGCTATCGCGTAAACAGTTTCTACAGTAAAGAGATAGAAGAATATTGTGCTAAGAAGCCCTTATTCAGCATCGAAATATAAAGTATTTCATTGTATTATTGTTCTATGTGTGTCTCGCTTATTCTCTACCTAAAGTCTCTCCCGGAAATGTCAATATACAAGGTGTGACAATTAAGTAATGAAACTTCTACAACTCTGACATCCCCTTCAAAGTAGTCCCCTTGTGCAGCTATAGAACGATTCCCACGCGTTTTCTATGCTTCGTAACATTTCTGCAACGCTTCGACTGAGATGTCCGCGTGTGCCCTCGTCACCGCCGAATGGATGTCCTCAATCGACTCAAAATGGGCTTCCGATTTTGTGCCAGGTAACAAAAAAGTCACAGGGTGACATTTCGGGCGAATAAAGCGGTTGTTGCAACACGGCGATCCCTTTAGAGGCCAAATACTGCAACATGCTGAGGGCGATGTGGCATGGCACGTTGTCGTGTTGAAGGATCCAGTTACGAGCGATGTCTGGACGCACCCTGTTGACTTGTTTTCGCAATCTTTCGAGTACTTGGCGATAATAGACTTGATTTACGGTTTGCCGCGGTAGTAAAAATTCTTTACGGTCATTTTTACGACCTCGACTGGTCTTCCGCTCCGCGCCTTGTCTTTCACGATTTCACGCCCCTCTTTAAACTCTTTATGCCATCGAAACACCTAGGCACTAATAAGAGCTTCGCCCAGAAACTCGCTTCAGCGTTTACAAATATAATACCTTATTTGGTTAGGTCTCTTTGGCAACCATTACTAGATTTATACTCAGTTTGGCTTGCTATTTCCTAATAAAAGTATTTATTCTGAAATAACGATTGTTAATCGTGCAAATTTCTTACCAAAACAAAACTTCGATTTGTCCAATATTCGATCGATCTAATCGCAGCAGAGTCGGTAGTTCGAGTAACCCACGCATTCCAACTACACAGAACAGCATAGGAAGACTCAAACGCAAACTTTGAAATATTTCAAGGCTGAAGAATCTCTTCGCAACCCTAACGAATATAGGTTAAGCTTCAGAATCAAGGCCAATGCGAGGATCACATAACAATAATTGCATTAAATGTAACAAGAAGAATATGCCGGTGAATGACAAGAACGAGAATAATTGCATTTTTTTATTAATGAGCACAATTAAAATCGTAGGAGACGAAGTTCACATACGACGGATGATAAGAGAAAAAATTAAAAAAAAAAAAAAAATTCAAAGGTAATGGTAATGAGCAAGTCGTAAATGAAACGGCGCAAAACACATGTCGACAATGCAAAATAACAATGTTAACAACGAAATGGTTATTTGATTTGTTATCGCTAACTAATAATAAATGGTGGAAAATAAGAAGGAAAACAATAACAAACAACGAAACCAAAAAGTCAGCGACGAGTGAAGGTATGCTTATTATTTTTACATTTATTTATGTTTGGGTTTTCGCATAGATAGATAAGCGCGGCGTTAATAGTTGGCGCGCGCTGTCTGATAAAATTTCAAGGCAAGAAAACTAGCGCGCGCGCAACAGAACAACATATATATATATATATTATATATTATAAGTAATATATATGCGCAAGTGCTTAGAAGCTAAGCGCCTTTGTGTTTAGATACGCATATATGTACATATGTATGTGTGCAGTTAAGTGCTCGGCACGATTATGCCGCGCACAGCGTCGCTTAATTAGATATTAATTGCCTAACAATAATCGCCTAAGGCGCCAACCAAAATCTTAACGGAAGTGCCAATTTTCCAGCTTACGCTTTTTACCACTAATTTTATACAAAAAAAAAAAAAAAACAATATGTAAATATTCCAAAAAAAAACTACTTAACCCAATAACGATTTGTTATCAATGTTAGTCTTTCATACGCATAATAAACGGCCTGCCGCCCGGCACCTGTATGGAATTCCACACGGCAAAGATTAATTTATGAGTCTACTTAATGGGCTGGTAACCAAACTGATTTGCATTTATTATATATATTATATTATGTATGTAAGCATATATGTACATACATACACGTATATAGACATGAGATATGTTTTCATTGTTGCCGTCCATGCGCCGATGGATCATTCATTCATTAATACCCATCAAAGGGAGTGAAGTGCGCTGTATTCAGAGTATATATATATATATATATATATATATTATATAATATATTTACTTAGATATATATATATTTGTATGAATGTATGTATATGTGCTAAATTGCAAAATATCATTTGATCGATCGGTGTCAATAGCAATGGCAAAAGGCTTAGACATCATTGCCTTTAACAGTAAATACAAATGTATTTATATTTACATATATGTACATATAATTAAATACACACAAAATAAATACATATGTATGTACGTATGTGTTGCACAATAATAAATGTGATTTTTGATAATAATCATGTTCAAGCAAGCTCATGACGAATTTCTGTCATATGTCCAACAGCTTTGACATGCGCACTTAACTGTGGTTGGAAATATTTGGGAAATAGTTACCGATTGTAATGTAATTAGTTTAGTTAATTTTTTTTTTTTTTTTTTTTTTTGATTCAGTGTGATTAGTTAATCAGAGCTGTACTGCAAATATTTCTAGATTTTCAAAATAAAATAAAAATTACAATAAAAACAATGAATTAAAATCTCTTAGATTGTTTTTTAAAGTATTTTATTTTGATTAAAAAAAGTTGATTTGCATTTTAAACGGTAATATATATGTAGTTTAATTTTAGTTTGTTTTCATTTAATTTGTTTTATATTAATGTCCTTATTTCAAAATATATTTATTTAAATTTAATTACTTTCTATTTTATTTTATTTTATTTTATTTTATTTATTTAGTTATAAATAGTCTTTACTTTATGTTGTTTTGTTTTAATTTAATTTATTTGATATTAATTAATTTTACTTTAATTGGTTTTATTTCTTTTGTTTATTTCATTCCATTTATTTTATTTTATTTTAAGTTATTTTTTATTTTATTTTATCTTAATTTTTTTATTTCATTTTCTAATTTTTTTTGTTCATTTTCTTTTATTGTATTTTATTTTATTGTTCTTTTTATTTAATTACTTATTTTTTTAATTTTTTATTTTTGCTTTTATTTTACTAGATTTTTTATAATTATTTCTTTTAATTTTATTTTATTTTATTTTATTTTGTTTCATGTTATTTTTATTTATCTTACTTATTTTTTTATGTTCAGTTATTCTATTTTTTATTTTACTTGATTTTTTATTTTTTTTTCATTTAATTTTAGTTTATTGAATGTTTTTTTTTTAATGTACTCCATTTTATTTTAATTTTTTTTGTGTTATTTTCTATTTTATCTTATCTTACTTAATTTTTACTTTTGTTTTACTTGATTTTTTTTATTTTATAATATATAATAATATATTAAATTTTTTCTGATTTTGTTTAATTTTTATTCTTATTCATATTTTTATTTTTTATTTCATTTCATTTTAAACTATATTTGTTTTTATAACTTTGATACAAATCTAGTTTTTTTATTTGATGTTTTTACTTTTAATTTTAATTTTGCTCATATAAATTTTTTGTTTATTTCAAAATATTATGTTGTAATTTATTTAAATTTTTATTTATTATTTATTTTATTTTATTTTTGGTTTTTTATTTCAGTTTATTATTCGAATTAACTTTTATATTTTGTTTATGCTGCTTTACTACACTTAACATTCTTTGTTATCCTGTTTTACTATATTTGCTTTTATGTTTTTTTAATTCCCTCAATCTTTTTTTTGTTTTGCTTTATTTTATTTTTCATTTTTTCATATTATTCTTTTTATATTAAGTTATTATGTTTTATTTATGGTAATTTTCTTTATTTCAATACAATTATTTAATTAATTTAATTTATATTTTATTTTTTTTATTTTAGTTAATCCATTAATTTTTTGGTGTTATTTTACTTTTTTATTAATTGAATTTTGTCCTTTTTTTATTTTGTTTTTCTGATTTTATTTATTTTTATTTTATTTTATTTTATTTTATTTTATTTTATTTTATTTTATTATATTTTTTGCTATTTCATTTTATTTTAATTTATTTTATTTTAAATTAATTTATATGACTTTATTTTCATTTAATTTATTTTACTTTGTTTTTATTTAATTTTTTGAAATTATTATTTTTTTTCATTTAATATTTTTGATTTGATTCTAGCGCTCTATTTATGTTTTTTTTTAATTTTTTGATTTAATTTTTTATTTAATTTTTTTAATTTTTTTATTTTGCTTTTTTGGGTTTTAATTTATCTTATTTTATTGTAATTTATCGTATTTTATTGGATTTTATTGTACATTATGCTATTTCACTTTTTTATCTTATTTGATTTTAAATTATTTAACTGTTTTCATTTAAGTTTATTTTTGTATTTTTTTAAAATTAATTTAATTTAATTTTATGCTTTTTTCATTTATTTTACTTTCCTTTGTTTTTATTTCTTATTTTATTCTATTCTAATAATTTTATTTATTTTTATGTTATTTTAATTTGTTTTTATTTTTTCTTTCATATTATATAGTTCTATTTATTCTTATTTTTGTTTTTACTACTTTACTTTAATTAATAATAATATTTATATGAATTATGTAATTTTTGTTTGTTGGGCAAATCATCTTTGTTTAATTATTTATGTGTACTTAATATTAATATGCACGTCCGCAGTGCGTCCTACCTTATCAGTAATTTTATTATTCAATTGCAATTTTTATGATGTAGATTTTGTTTTCTAACATTTAAATATTTAATATGTGCGTCACTTCATTTAACAACGGCCACCACGAAAACAAACACTGCTCACACTATTTTATGGAATTTAAATATTTAAATATTTGAAAAATCACTAACTGCTGTATTACAGCATTATCGCTTAAGTGAATAATTTTTCAATTACATTTTAATATGTACATATATATTTTTTATCCATACGCACACAAACTTTGAGCTCAAAACGCGCGGGAATGCTTTTAATTTCCGCAAGTTTTTATTTTTATTTTTTATTTTTTAATATCACAGATCGACAACACAGCTCAAACTCCCGTCAGATCTCCAAAACTTGCTTCACTTTTAGTATTGTATATATGTATATGTATATGTATGTACTATATGACGTTAACAAAACAACAACTTGACTGTCTCGCTGCTCGGCAGCAACTGAATGCCTTTAGCGCCACAAGCTTGCGCACAACAGTTCGCCCACCCGGACCCCAAACGAACGCCCACCACCCATCGCCCGCCTTGCCGCTAATCAGCGCGCACTAACACTTCCACAGTATTTTGCATTGATAAAGCATGGTCATTATCAATTTTTCATTACCAAAACGAAGCAAAAAGTCGATTAGGTAGTTCCACTATCAGTGCTGCGTGTATTTGTTAGTGTTTTTTTAGTTATTTGCTTTAAATACACTTACGCTACACTCTATTCTGTTCCGTCACACGCCCATCTTCTTCTCTTCTGCCGCGCTTTTTTGTGGGCTTGTTTCAAAATATTTTGTTTCTGAATTTGGTTGTACAGAGAATTTTACACCGTAAAAACATTAAATTTTTTTTTTTAAATTAATGCAAATTTGTGCCAAAAATAATTATTCTGAATATCAACAGGTGGTGATTTGCTTATGTATACATATATGTACATGTATGTATGTATGCAATATAAAAGAGTTCATTTAACTTTTGAGATCGTTTTTCTTTTTTAAGTATAAAAAAAAGGTGTCTAACATTTCAAAATAACAAAGCCGCGTTGCGAGTCGAAATGAGAGAAGATCTTAATGACAGCAGCTTACTTGGCTTGAAGCTCACATATTGACATATAAATGTTCAAATATAATATAGGATGTGCAAACAAATATCGACTAAATACTGTCGCAGCGTTTTCTTGTTGAAAAAAATCATACAGTGTGTCCCAATAAAACTCAGACCTTTGGCACAGACACAGTCAGACTCAGACTCGGGTAGCCAGGTGGGAGTTTTTCTGTAAGCGACACGCTTAATATGTTCTGTCATTCAATTCTGGAAGAGCTTGCATTGCCTTGCTAGAAGAGCCTAACACTATGAGTCTGAGTAAGGGATTCGATACGAGCTGGTCTTCTCTAGTAAAACTCTACAGACGATAATTCGTGGCGTTTACTTAGCAATTTCGAACTCGTAAAAGAGTCATATCATGCTAACGAAGTTAGTAGTGTTAGTTTCGTTTTAATTCCAAGTGAAGTGGTAGTATATTGTGGCTTATCATTGAGCCCGAAAATCGGAGCGTACTGACCTTTCCCCCTGATAATTTTCCTACTGTAAAGTGTCACATCAGCAACGTTGTTCGAGGTGGGATCAATACATGTAGGCTTCCCGCCCTGACCAGCTAGCTAAAAATTAATATAAAGACTCAACCAGATTGTATGATACGCATTAAGGACTGTGCCTATGAGCAAACCTTAAATCCAAAATTATTTGCAAAGTGAAGTCGAAATCGAGCAAGACAAAATACCTGGACCAATGTTGCTGTACACCCGGTCATAAATTACGCTGCTCCAAAGCAAAAACAACCCAACAGACATTTACTTGAGGCTGGACTACCACTAGGCCCATCAGGACCATCACCTATTGCAGACGAAGAGCTTGAGCTGTCTCGAGAGACCCAAGTAGCACTGTTACAAAATAAAGAAGAAAGCAAGGCCAGAGGTAAGCATTGCGTACCACCACTCGGAAGTCCAGGTTGGAGTCCTGGATCGACTAACTTCCAAAATAATAAGAAAAATTAAATTAAAATAATTGGGAATGTTCCCACCACCGAGTGTATTTCGGACGAAAACATGAAGCTTCTCGTAAAAAACCATCAGCCGCTCGGAGGCGGCTTTGTAAAAACTGTCGGTCCCTGCATTTGTTGGAAAAACATCAAGACGCAAAACCACAAATTGGAGGAGGAGCTCGGCCGAAAATCGCTTCAGCGGTTACAAAGCGCCAATTATATATATATATATATATATAGACTTAATTCCTACGCATCCAAACTTGAGCTCCGGCACGATATTAATCACCTCTTTCCATTCACCTTAAAACCAACTCATCGAAACAGCAGGTCTCCTCAATCTCTTGTTAGATGACCTCGACGACATAGACTAGTCTCACCTGCTCCTAAGCGTATAAGCCAATACGGTCGTACCGAAGCCGAGCTGGAAAACAAAGTTTTTTAAAATTTATATTCTTATAATCGAAGTTAATCACTGAAAAAATAAAATAAAACCTTCACACTATTTTAAATTTTCAGTAATAAACGCTTCTTAGAATTATTTCCCATTTGTGCGAATTTATTTTTTCAGCACTGTAAGTTTAATCAAGCTGCTTTTTTTCTATTGATTTTCGAAATAAAAATTTAATAACAAATAATTCAAGCCGAGGACTTTGGAGCTATGTAAATTACTTAAGATATATATATATATGTACATATGTATGTATATAATAAGTTTAGAAATGTTAGTCTAGTGTTAATAGATTTGCATTATTTTATTTAGAGAGATGACTAACATTTCCAGGTAGAAATCGCTTACTCACGGATGACAAATAACTCGATAGGATTTTTTAAAATAATTAACTAAATTATGGTAAAAAAACATTTGCTCAAAGAGCTTTACCAAGTTCTGTTAAAAGTATGTTTGTTTCGATGTTTCGGTGTCAAACCCATTTTCTTACTTAACTTATTTGCATACAAATACAAATCAATTATTCAATTGTAATGAAGGTGTTGATAATTCTAATAATTTCTTTAAATTAATTAACACTTTGTACTTTATCGCTCGAACTATCAGTAAATTTAGATATGAAACTTAAAATAGAACTTTACACCCAACAAGAAAAACCCCTCCAACACCATTGCCACGCTCTCAAAGCGATAAAATAATAAATACTTTGACCCCCACTAAATGCCGGAATGAAAGCAGTGATCGCTTGATCAAAGGCTCTCATAATCGTTTCAGCTGGTTGACAATTTTATTCACAATAAGCGAGTTGTTGAACAAGCTATTGTAAGTATATACGAGTGCCCTGCAGGGAGAAGGGAGGCTAGCTAGACTAGTAGCTGAAATTCTAGTCAAATACTGAACAATTGACAGTTCGTCGCTGTGTTCGAAACGTCAGTTGGAGGTAACAAGTGCGGATAGTTTCATATCTCCTTGAGTGGAGGTCTTCCCTTTCCGATAGGTACTGCATGGAAAACTTTCAAGGCTTGAGAATTCTTATACATCCGTATCACATGGCTTAGCGAGCGTCACATGCAATAGAACGGGAATGAGGAGCAATTTACAGAATTTCCTCGTTGTTCATCGAGAGTGGAATTTTTATTTTCAATTGCTTTCTCAGTTACCTGTTGGTAAGTGTGATTCTGCGTTGGACCTCAAGGCTCATAATGCTCTAGGTGATATAGCAGGTTCTAAGATAGATGAAATTATCCAAAACATCAAAGTTATGACATGCAGCAGTGAGTTGGGAGCCGACTCGCGAATGCTCTGACTGTTTGCTTGATGACAGGAGATATTTCGTCTTGTCCTCTTTCAATACCAGACCCATAAGCCACACTTTTTTCATCCAATCTGGAGAAACCAAAACCAAAGGCATGATTTTTTGAGGTTAATGATGTCAATATCATCGGTCTACGCCAGCAGCTGTACACTCTTATTGAATAATGTACCTTCTATACTCAGCTCAGCAGCTCATCTTAATTTTTCTGCAATATAATAAGAAATTCTCCCGATAAAGAATCACCTTGTCTAAAACCTCGTTTGGTATCGCACAGTTCGTAGAGGTCCTTCCCGATCCTGAGAGAGCTTTTGGTGTTGCCTAACGCCGGTTTATACAACCGTATAAATTTCGCGGGGACACCAAACTCAGGTATAGTGGCGTAGTGGCAGCTCCTTTTTGTGCTGTCGAAAGCTGCTTGCTTTAAAATCGACGAAGAGGTGATGTGCGTCGATTCTCTTTTCACAGATCAATGTTTGATTTACCAGGTCTAAGACCATTTTAATAAGGTCCTGTCAGTTTGTGAACGATGAGCTTTAGTCTTTCACATTATTTGCTTGGTAGGACCTTAAATGCGATATTAAGGAGGCTTATATATTAGTAATTGGCGTAGACTCTCGGAACTCTCAGGCTCCAATTGTTGGGCACGTTTTCAACCGACCATATTCTTCATCAAGGTAGCTGATGCATGCACCTTTTCAGTTATTTGTCCTTTTTCAGGCGGGCAATTACTAAACGTACTTCTTCCTAGTTCGGCAGTGAAAGATCTATTCCGTCGTCATCAATTAGTGAATCGGGTTCACCATCTGTGGGTATTTCATTTTCAATGCCACTCAGCAGGCTGGAGAAGTGTTCTCTACTTAAATTTCATGCACACTGTGCATGCATCAGTCGATAGATCATCTCAATCAAATACGAGTATTTTCCCTGCAGGGTATGTATGTACATACATGCGAGTACATGTATACTCTAATAGAGCTATATGACGGTAATGATCATAAAAATGGTTTTCAGTTATTAATTGTTGTATCTTTTGTTTTGGGTTGTTGTTGTGTTTTCTCCTTTGTGTTTTATGTGTGTATATTACTTCCTTTATTGTACTAATATTTATCTCTGTAAGCATTTAAGCAGTTATTAGCGATGACGGTGTTTTTTGTGGCATTGCATGTCATTAAATTTTGGCATAGCTGGACGATTATAAAATGGCTCAAAGTATAACGTACATATGTATGCCCATATCTACGAGTATGTAAATTTGGGCATTTATTAAACAAAGTCCAAAGTGGGTGTGTTGCAATGCCTTTGAAAATAAAAACAACGCTAAAGTAGCAACTACCAGCTAAAAGAAAATATTTGCATGCCTCAATATATATGTATGCACGTGTGTTTATATATTTATAATTAAACTAACAGTTACCCGGTGAGAAAGTTAAAATTTTATTCAGATTATGGCTTCTATTTGAATCATCTGGTAAAGATTAGACTGCCAAGAATTTTGTATATTAATTAGTTGTGAGAAAACGTTGCCTACATTTCGGCGCAAGGATAAAAGGGCTTACTAATCAATTAATTTAAGGAGAATTTATACAGTGCATCGAATAAACTCTGTTATGTAAAATGTTTCATCATTACTGA